GAGTGAGTCTGGTCCTGGGGCAGGGAGCCGCTCTCAGGAACCTCCATCTCTGGCCATTGACTTCTGCTCTCCACGCTGATGTATGGCCCTGGTTTCCCCCAGGGACCACCCCCACTCTAGGGGCACAGAGTCTTGTAATTCAAACTGGAGGGCCTCCCCTCTCCTCTACCCACCACTTCCCCTTATACCAGTGGTTCTCAACCTTCTGGCCCTTTAAATACAATTCCTCATGTTGTGACCCAACCATAAAATTATTTTCGTTGCTACTTCATAACTGTAATGTTGCTACTCTTATGAATCGTAATATAAATATCTGATATGCAGGATGGTCTTAGGTGACCCCTGCGAAAGGGTCGTTCGACCACCAAAGGGGTCGCGACCCACAGGTTGAGAACCGCTGCCTTACACCCTCCCAGCCCCATCTTGGAGAAGTTGAAGAGAAAGGGGGAGCAGTCCCCTCCTGGATAGGGCCAGTCGAGAGGGACGGATGGGGGATTTTTCACAGTCACTGGAGTGGCTGAATTTCTCAGGGCTCAGGGCTCACAGGCCAGTGACGGAGGAGGAAGGCAAAGCACATATATCCACGCACTGGCATAGGCCCAGGGAAACCGAGGAACACAGAGAGATACACACAGACACACAGAGAAACAGACAGGAACACACAGAGAGAATAAAGTGATCTGATCTAACACATCCACTCTGCACCCAGCTCTCCAGTGTCTCCCCCCCCCGCCCCCCCCTCCCCCAGTCCAGGGGAACAAGCCTACACAAAATATAAGAAAATACAGGAAAACTGCTCCGCCCTGGGATGCCTCGCTGGCCTTTTTTTGTAAATAAGCATTTGAATGTGTTTTGTTCTAAACTGCAAGGCCAGCACAAAGGGAGCTTTCTCATGCAGGAAGGTCCTTCGGCAGGGCCCTCCCTCCGCCCTCTCCTCCAGCCCCCCGCCCACCAGCTGGGGCGGCTTCCATCCTCAGCCCCAGTCGGGGTCCCTCCTGTTTAAAAGAGTCCTAAGAACACCTTGACTTCCCCCAGTTGAACTGCAGGCTGAGATAACATTAGGCTTCCCTTTCTTCAACGGATTACTTGATTGAGCAAGAGAGAATGGGGCGGAGCAGGGAGCTGCAAGTGCAAGGCTAGGCCTTAACCAAGCATCTCAACCCACATCAGCTTCCCAGGGTGAAAAGTTTGCTCCTCTCCAAGCTTGGCACCAAGTCAGAGAACCGGGCCTCTCCCCCACCTCTGTGTGTGGGTCCCCAGTCAGTGGCTGTTAGAGGGCCCTTGTCACTCACAGGCCTCCTCCAATTCCCACGTGAAGGTGGGAGTGAGGCTGTCCAGTGTGGCTGCAGCCCTGCAGGGGCGGGGGTGAGGGGTGGGGGTGGGGAGGACCCTGTTTCTCCGAAAGTGTTCTTTTCCCTCCCTGGGCCGTTCTGGGCTCCAGGCATTAAAGCCTCCTCTCTCGCCTCTGGAAATGGGTAAGTGACGCGTAATTTACGAGCACATCAGCCCAAAGTGCATAAGTCAGCCGTGCACAAAGCAGCCGGGTAAATATTTAAAGATTAGAGCCAGCTGGGGAGAGGCACAAAAGGCGGGGACAATGGGGGTCTCTCGGAATTCACTCTCCCAGGGCCGGGCCAGCCGGGTGCAGTGTTGATGCACTCACCGCAGTCCCAGTCTTTGTCCCCTGGAGGACCCTTGGCAGCCGAGCTATTGGAGTCCCCACCCAGCTAAAGAGAGTTAAACAATCGCGGCCTCTCCAACCCCATCCGGAGACAATTGGCTGAGTCATTCCCGGGCTTTCGCTGTGTCCCCACAGTTAATTACATGGAGCAATCACCCCATTCCGCTTTGAAATGCATCTGCGCGGGGGCGGGCCGTTCCCCCACCAAAGGGGCCTTTGCAACACTCTCCAGTGAGCGGGTCCTAACGTGCCTGGGGCCGCAGGAAGGAAGGGGCTCCCGCCACCGGGGGGGGGGGGGGGGGGGGCTTTCAGGTTTTAAAGGGGCTTTTTCCAGGGCTGAAAACCCTTCCACCTCGGGTCCGGAACCGAATCCCCCTGGGGAATATTAATTATTTATTTATTTAATTATTTATTTTTTTAATTAACCGGTAAGTTTGCAAAAATAAGGAAGGTAACCCGGGTTTGATTAAATCAAAGGGGTTGATTGGGTTTCCTTGTGAAGAAGGGAAATTCGATTTTTTGTTGGAGAAGGTTCTGGTTTTGGGGTT